ATTTCGGATTTTTCCCGGGTACAGGTTGAGGCCTACTCATCGATTTTAGGGGGTTGAAGGGAGCGAGAAAGAGTGCAGGTGAGACAGAGAGCGAGAGAGAGAGAGAGAGAGAGAGAGAGAGAGAGAGAGAGAGGGAGGGAGAAAGGGAGAGAGAGAGAGAGAGGGAGAGAGAGAGAGAGAAAAAAAAAAGAGAGAGAGAGAGAGAGAGAGAGAGAGAGAGAGAGAGAGAGAGAGAGAGAGAGAGAGAGAGAGAGAGAGCAGGAGTCCAGAGGAGGGGGTAAAAGGGAAGGGATAGCGGCAGAAAATGAAGACGAAAGTAGAAGACAGATAATGGTTAGAAAGCAGGAAAGGGGGTGAAAAGAAAACAATTCAAAGAAAATAGATTTCCGTCGCTATCAGGCTTCGAATCCAGGAGCTCTGGAAGGAGACGCGAACATCGTTAACTCTAGACCACGAGAGCCCCCCACATTTTGCAACATCAGAATTACAATGTTATATCTGACAATTTTTGGCCCTTTTGAGTTACAAGGGCCATGAGGTCAGAAATAAATGTTCTATCTGCTCTATCAAAATTGTAAAATTATTTTGAGTCTTTCGCAAGATGTTCAAAGAATTGTATTCGAACATCTTGACATGATGAGAAACTCAAAATCTTTGACGTAAATTTCTCAAAACTAGGTACAGTTCAGAAAGGGGGGTTCTCATGGTTAAGAGGTTAGGGTTTTTGCTTCTCATTCAATAGGTTCCGGGTTCGTATCTGGATAGCGACGGAATTTTCTTTTCTAAAATGTTTTCCTTTCACCCCCTTTCCTGCTCTCTAACAACGTCCTGTCGTCTTCTTTTATCTTCACTTTCTGCTCCTATCTCCATTCACACTTTGCTCCCTCCACTGGGTTCCTGACTCTTTCTGCAGCCTTTCAACTTCTACTCCTTGGCTCCTTCTTACTGCTGCCTTTCAGCCACACCCCTGATCTTATGGCAGGTAAGATCTAACACTTAGGCTTCTCGGATAAGGGCGAAAGATCTCGGAGGTCCCATGGGCAAGTTGCGCACGTTAAAGATCGCTTGATGGTCCAAAATCAATACGAGTAGGCTATGGCCGCCATCTGGGCATAAAGCAAAATTTCCTACCAAATGAAAATGTTTAATGTGTCCAGCATGCAGTTGCGAGCGCCATAAAACACTTAAATCTACCACAGAAAAACTGTGCATAAAGAACTTTGTAATTTTGAGGTAGTAATGTGTGCTCATAAGCAAGGTCCTCTCCATGTTAAATGGCGTCTGTGGTGGAGAGATAAGATGCTTCGCCGTAGCCTGACAGAATAAGATCTGAGTTCGATTCTATTTGGGGAGAATGTTTATCGAATAGCTATCTCGGTCTTTTTGTTGGGAAGTTGTTTCCCTCTCAGCTCTTGTTGACCTAGATATGTGGTGTCGCAAAACTCGTATTAATGTATGTACTACTAAAACTATTGTTGTGTTCTGGAGAGGAATGACCATGGGTGGATTCGTTTCTGTACAGCTGCGATAAAACATACATGTACAGGGTGATAAAAACAACAACTTTACGTTTTTTTCTGAACGTATCGCTCAAAGTTGTTCTAGAATGTTGTAATTTGGAACAGACGTTATTCACCTGAAAGGAATTTGTGTGACATAAAGTTCATAAACGGCTTGAAAAACCCCCACCTATAAACACAAATTGCACCAATAAAAATCTTGTAAGGAAAGTCGTGAACCGATTGGTTCCCCTTTTGTTTCTTCCTTTTCTTTTTAACATCTATTTTTTCAACACTGTAACATCTAAACAATATTTCATTTGTCTTACAGAAATGTAAAAAAACAACAAAAAAACTAACACTATTATTCTAGAATTCTTAGAGCCAGCCCTCTACTTGTCCTCTTTTGGATTCAAACCATTTTTGACGCGTCGTTCATGGCGGCCAACACGAGGACCTGCCAAACCATACATGCTGAAAACCGCACGCACTGTAAACTTTTCATTACAAAGTGCCTTCTAAATATGATAAGGGGTGGGTGTTATGCTCAATAGACAAAAATCTGTAGGGTTTGCATATCCTGTACAGTGAAAATGGGCTCTGCTACTGAACCAAATGTCATTGAGGAAATGTTCTCGCTTTTCAAGACGACAGAAGAACCATGAACACATTGCCATGCTCATATCAGCCTCACGAACGAGAAAAGGATTCTGATATAGGTGAAGATCTACCTTGAGAAAGTGGGCCGTTGAGGTGTGGGGAAATCCCTGCCGCAGACATCGTTAGCGGACACACGTCTCATGGGACTCGACTACTGAATTCTGTATAATCCCGGAGACATTAAAAGGGCTGCGAAAGGTGCGTTTTCGACCTGAAGTGGTTGTTTTGTCTAGGAATGTTTAATTCTGATTCTCTGTAGATTCAAATTGACAGAACATCTCTATCCATGCTTTCAAAGAAGGCATTGGGGGTCCTTTAGCTTTCTTTCCGTACCATGTGTG